AAGACAAGACTGAGGGGAGAAGTGCAAGCTGGCTAAGATAAGGAGGCCAGGGCTCTGGTGCTGCAGTGTGAAGGGCAGGCAGACGTGGCCTGAACCAGGTCTCTTAATCTATCAGAAAGGCTCAGCTGGCACCTCCAGCTACACAGCTAGGCTCAGCATTACCAGTGGGTGCAGGGAGGAGAAGGCATCCTTGCCCTCACCCAGTTTCCATTCTAATTGGGGAAACAAAATTGGCATTCACATCATTGCGGGCCATTTGTTGTGATGGAAAGAGTATTTGACCTTGGCATAGCAGGTCAAGGTTCCAATCCTGTTCTTCCACCTACCAGCTGTGTGACAAGCCACTTACCCTTCCTGGGCCTCAGTTTCCACATCTGTAAAACGAAGAGGCTATCACCAGGCTTGGGAGGATTAAACAACACGATGTAAGTCAGGGCTCCAGCCCAGTAAGCATCAATCAAGGAATGGGAGCTCATTCTTTAAAGGCACTGAAAGGGGCTGCACAAATGGTAATGGCTGTTCTCAAACTCCAGTCCCTTCTATCTCTGAGGCCCGAGATTCTAAGATTCAAACGCAGGCAAGTCTGGGCTCTCAGCCCAGCGGCTTCCAATTGCCGGGTTCCAGCCGCTAATCAGTCGGTTTGAGTTTCAGGGGAGAAAAACCCCACTGACATGAAACCCTGAGCCCTCTGGCAGCCTCCCCGCCCCCCCAAAGCACGGCCGGCCGGGGCTTGGAAAATCCCCTGCTGCGCTTAACAAACAATGTGAACAGTTGGGGCCTGAGCAGCTGCTGGATATGTCAGCAGCCTGGGCTCTGGCGAGCAGGACAGCGGCCAGAGGGGCCGGGCGGCTGGCTGGGGAGCCCAGAGGAGGCTCCGATTCCCTTCCTGAATATTCGTGGATCAGCAGATGTCTGGCTTCCCCACCTTTGAGGAGCCCAGCAGCACCCAGCGAGGCAGAACAGGGAAACCAACAGTGACGAACATGCAGAGAGAACCTAGGAGGGTCCAGGGCTGTGCCAGGAACCCGAGCCCACGTGGGGAAGCCTGAGATTCCTCACTTTACAGAGGGGGAAACTGAGGCCCAGAAGGAGGGTCTCATCTCTCTTGGAGGCAGTTGCTCCTGAATAAGAGGTTCCTCTCTGCCTCAGTGCCCCAACCTCTGTGGCCCGGACGTGCATCCTTAGGGACGCAGCTCAGGCGCTGGCCCTCCGTGAAGCTGCCCCCGTCTTCCCTCGTGAAGTTTTTCCTGAGTCTCACATCACACGGCCACTTGGAAATCCATCCTTCTTGCCCAGATGGACAGTGGGACTTAGTAGACCAGGCCTTGACCTAGTTCTAGAGTCAGAGTCCTGGGTTCATCATTTGTTGTATGACCGTGGGTCCATTACTCTCCTCCTTTCAGCCTCCATTTCCACAGCTTGTTTTAAAAATGAAGAATCTCCACATTTCTCATTTTCACCAAAATTCGCCCAGCAGCAGAGAGGAGCATCCTCAGGAGGCTTGCTGACGGCCCGAAATGGTTTTATTTTAAACCTTTGGCACATTGTGGTTTCTACACCATCAAATCTTTTCGTAAAAGTGATGCTCCGGGGGAGTGGGCCTTGTTTGTCCAGTGGCTTTGTGGCCAGCCCTTTCCTGCCCGCCCCCCAACCCCCCCATGGCTGACCCCCAAAGCCCCTCCCACAAGCATTTCTCAGCTGCCCCTCTCAGGGCTGGGCAGACACAATGGGACACTTGCTCCCCGCCAGCTTTCTGCCTCGAGGGGGCCTCCCTCTCTCAGTCTCCTCTGTATCCTTGGTGAGACCCTGCCAGAGACGCAGAGCTGCTATGCTTGGGAGCCCCACGGCCGTCTCTCAATCTCATTTTTCTGACAAATTATTTTACACATTTTCAGGATAAATTAGATTTTATGAGGCCAATTAGAACTCAGACAGAAAGGAGAGATGCTGCTGAGCCCCAGGGTCAGCTCAGTGCTGTTTAGGGGGATTTGCAGGGGCCTGGCGTGAGCCAGGGTTCCATTTTTCAGTGAACTAGCAGGAAAGAGGCGGGTGGGGGGAGGGGGACGAAGCCAGATGCCTCCTTAATTAAGCCAAGAACTTGCCACAAACATCAATGCCTTGTCACTTCTGAACTTCAGGGCCCAACAGATTTACAACTTGTTTTTGATCTAGGGCAATTCTCCATGACACCATCCCCTCTCTCCTTTCCCAGGAGACACAAGTCAGTTTTTTCCAGAAACCTCCCTCCCTGCCCCCCACCTTGGCCGCCTCCCTAACCACACACTAAGCCCCTCCCACTAACAGCTGGAAGGAGAGCTTCAGACGGTTGCCTGGGACACCAGCAAAGCAGGAGCACCCCCTTCAGCTGAGTTGACAGCAAAGCCACACTCAGCTGCCTCCCTCCTGTTCCCTGAGACCTCTGTCCCCACCAGACCAGACCCCTTCCAGGCCTCCGAAACGCTGCTGTTCCGTACGTTGCTCATGCTGCTCCCTCTCCCTACAAGAGCTGGGCCATCGGGGTCTGAGTTAGATGCCTCTCCTTTTTCTTCCCTATAAGACCCTGGGCACCTTCATCATTGTAGTTATCATTCTAACTTTTTGATTTGCTTTTCTCCCCAACTAGGCCACAAGCTCAAGATGATGTCTTCGTCAGCTTTCTAAATCCCCCGTTCCTAAAACAGTGAGTGCCTGGCATATTGTAGGTGCTCAAAAAATATTCTTTGAACACATGAGTGCACACACAGAACATGCTCAAAAAGATACAACACAGCCCTAACTGGTTTGGCTCAGTGGATAGAGCGTCGGCCTGTGGACTGAAGGGTCCCAGGTTTGATTCCGGTCAAGGGCATGTACCTGGGTTGCGGCACATCCCCAGTGGGGAGTGTGCAGGAGGCAGCTGAATCGATGTTACTCTCTCATCGATGTTTCTAACTCTCTATCCCTCTCCCTTCCTCTCTGTAAAAAAATCAATAAAAATATTTTTTTTTAAAAAAAGAA